CCCCCCAGGGGGGATGGTCACGCCACAATCCCTTCTCCTCCATTCTCCTCTCGGGATCTTGGGCACGCACGCACACGCGCCCGGCGTGAGTTTCAAGCCACCGGGTCCGGGACACGAACCGCGGTCGACTACGTGGGAGTCCAGCGACATAGCCATTATGCTAACTGCTGGTTCCCCTGCCATTAATTCTTTAATTCTGTTCATCTCATTCTCCTATACTTCTCAGCTGAAGACCACTTGTCAAGAATATTTAAGGAAATTCAGTTCATGAGACATAAAATATCAGTAGCAACTCCTCATCTGGATATAGAATCATTAAAGATATAATTAGTCAAGGTAAATGTCATACTGGAGTGGTTTATGCCTATAACCCATTTAGACTGGTATCCTTACAAGATGATGGTCATGTGAAGACACAGAGACACACCATGTGACAACAATGGCAGACAGACTGGAGTAATGCAGCAAAACACAGAACATCAAAGATTGCCAACAAAGAAATTAGGAAGAGGCAAGAAAAGATTTCCCTAAAGGCTTCAGATGGGGTATTGCCTGCTAGTTTTGGACTTCTAGCCTCTGAAGTTGTGAGACAGTAAATTTCTGTTTTTTTGTTTTGTTTTGTTTTGTTTTTGGCCTGCAGATGTGTATGTTCCCTGGAGAGAGAGAGAATGAGAGAAAGGAAGAGGGAAATTGATTAAATAACCCTCCCCCTTACAGGGAATGGTTACATCATTGTCTTTTCTCTTCCCTTGAGGACACATGCTTATGTGCCCAGGATATTTCTCAAGTCACTGGGCACAGCCACATAGAACCCCTAAACCACCACCATGGGCTGGCCCCAAATTTCTATTGTTTTAAGCCATTTATGGCAGCCCCAGAAAACTAATAGAAAGCCAAATGTCACAGGAACTAAAATCAAGGTACAGAGCAAAAGGCCATCTAAAAATGATACATATGCCATGATAAATGTATTATGTACTCCTTCTGACACACAAGACGGTTCGGCAACAACATACAACACTATTCAATACTTAAGGATATAAAGCCTTTTCTAAATGGGTAAAGGAAAGAATGGTAGAAAAATTTTATATACCAAAAATAAAAGATCAAACTAAGGTAAATGTGGTCAACTGGTAATGTGGTGGTTATGGCAGCTGGATCCTATGCTGTATGGTTCAAGTCCTGGATGGACCTGGAGGCTTGAGAATCATGTCAGGTAAGTGTGCATGCATGTCACAAATTCTGAGAGGTGGGAGAGATGGTGGGAGTACTTTCTAACTTTCTCTCTCTGTCTCTCTAGGGAGCACATGCAACCTCTAAGAAAATTTTAAAAATAATAGTACTCTCACCACCAGTGTAGGAGGGTTCCCTTTTCACCACAGTCTTGCCAGAATCTGTCATTCTTTATTTTCTTGATCAAAGCCATCCTTACTAGGGTTAAGTTATGGGAAATATGGAAGTTCCTCAGAAACCTACAAACAGCACTATCATATGACCCAGTAATTCCACTCCTTGGTATTTACCCAAAGGATAGGAAAGCATTGAGTCAGAAAGACAATTCTACATACAAGTTTACTGTTGCATTATTCACAATTGCTAAGACGTGGAATGAACCTAAGTACATAGATCTGATGACTAGATTGAAAAAATGTGGCACATGTATACTGTGGAATACTATTCAGCCATAAGGAACATTTTATACAAAATAGATGAATATAGAAGATTCAGGGCTAAGCTAAGTCAGTCAGACTATGAAAGAGAAACATTGTATATCCCTTCTCAATATATACTAAATGTCTGCACTCTACAGCAGAAATTGAAATATCCAAAGATATAATAGTAGGGAGGACAGGTGTAGATATTGGAGACCATAAGAGAGGGTGATGGATAGTAGACGGTGGGTGAGTAGGAGGAGCTCAGAGAAGAAACACTTAACAGACATAAGAATGTGAAGTTCTCGGACTAGAAGATGGTGTAGTGGTTACATCACTGGACTTCCACATGACTGACCGCAGTTCAAGTCCCAGACCCAATGACTTGAAACTCACACTGTATGCGTCTACATGCATGCCCAAGATCTCAGGAGAAGAGTGGAGAAGGGATTGCTGACTACAGCGAGCACACACACCCTAGGGCCAAACCCTATTTAAAAAATATTTTAAAAGAATGCAAAATATTCCATTGAAAATTATAAATATGGTAACATCCTTGATTTGACTGTCACACAGTGAATGCATACTTTGAAAAACCGTATCGTATACTATAGAGATAAATAACAATTAAATATGAATAAGAAATCATAAAATGTTTTAAAAAAGTGTTTAGAGGGGCCGGCAGGTGGCATGGTGGCTAAGGGTTCTGGACCCCCACGTAGCAAACCGCAGTTCAAGTCCTGGACCTGGCAGCTTGCTCTCTCACTTTCTCTCTCTCTCTCTCTGGTCAAATTAAAATAAATTCATTAATTTTTAAAAAAATGTTTAGATCCCAGAACAAATTATTGGGATATATGTACATGTATTGGCCATATAGCTACACGTTGTCAAATCTCAGCACAGTTTTGACAGTAGCAGATTCTGGGAAAAAGTATCCTGGTTATCTATTGTCATGTAACAAAATCACTTTAAAACTTACTACCATGGGGGCCCGCAGGTGGCATGGTGGTTAAAGGCACTTGATTCCCACATGGCCGACTGCAGTTCAAGTCCTGGACCTGGGAGGTTTCTCTCTCTCTCTCTCTCTCTCTCACTCTCTCTCTGTCCCTCTCTGGTCAAGTTGAAATGAACAAAAGAATAAACAATAATAAAATTAAATAAAATAATTGTAAAAAAAACACATTCTAAATATATATATACATATATATATATAATCACAGTTTTTTTATTCTTTCTCCCTTTGATGAGCTTAGGACCTCATATTGTACATCCAATACAATGTTAACTCATATTCATTAATGGTCATTTTGATTAACCATTTGGATTTATCTTTTTTTTTAAAAGGTTTTTGCCATGGGGTACATGTGTTCACCAGAAAGAAACAGTGAGAGGGAAAGTGAGAAACCACCCCTCCAGGGAGGATCGCCACACTAAATTTCTTCTCTTCCATAATCTTCTTGAGATCTTGGACATGTCCACATGAAGCATGATTTTTTTTTCTTTTTTTAATTTATTCATTCATTTTTAAAATTTATTCATTCATTTTTTTTTCAGTGTTTAAACTTTATTTACTTTCCTAGGCTTTTTAACAACATGGTCATTTGTGCTTTTTAGAAATACAATAAAGTTATCTCTGCATCCTAGTAAACAATCATTTAGAAATATTTCAGAATTTGGGGAACCAGCAGG